TAATAAAACTTTCAATTAAAATACGAAAATTCATACAATTCATAACAGAACACACATCAAATTAATCTTCCCAAATAATGGGAATGATTTTTTCTCGCTTTACCAAAACAAGCAACTAATAAAAACAATCCACGCAGATCACACGGATTATTAATGATCCAGTTCCAGATTTACATGATTATCTTCTCAGATAATCAAACTGGTCAACACGTAAATGACATTTTGCATTAGAACGTTGTTATATAGATCATTTGTTAATTATCATCAAGATTGATCGTATTTTCAGATCTACAAAGCGATTACGTTATGCAGGTCGAATGGGAGAAGTCCAGTATCCAAGAATTTGACATAACGGCAACAGATTTATCAACTGAATGTTTGATCGATATGCTGACCAGAATCCCTGGTCTTCGTTTTCTCAGTGCTGGCCAATTAAATGGGTTCAATGACAGCGTGTTGAAAGCATGGGTAGAATCCGGTAATCCACGAAATTTGATTGCTTTGAACTTGGACAGTTCGGACAATTTAACTGACGATGCTTTACACAAATTCTTGTCGAGACATGGTCATCAACTTTGGGGTATTTCATTGGCTGGGATGCCACATATAACTGATCAACTATGGCAAAGTGTTTTACCTATTCTTACTAATGCCAAGTAACGTTTTATTCCTTTCAATATTAATATATATAAACTATGATAAGTTAATCAAATTTTGTAACACGTTCAAATATATAAACTCACGAATGAATACATTGATTACAGAATTCTCGTAATGGGTACAAATGAAAGACTTGGTGTTAATATTCACGTAGACCAGCTAATGGATGGAATTGCAAATAATTGTCCAAATTTGGAAAGACTCGAGCTACGTTGGGATCCAGAAAATTTAAGATTTTCCGATAAGAGTCAAAAAGCTATTGACATTTTGCGAGTCAAATGCATCAAACTCAAATGTTTGGTTTTAAGGTACGAAAGAATATAGTTAATATGAATAATAAAATAAAGATATAAATAAATATATATATATATATTTCCTGTTTTTTTTTTTTATGTTTTTAGCGATGGAAGATATTACGAGATCGTTAAAGCTAATTTCGAACGTGCTGATAGATTAACGGTTGTTAGGACGACCACTTGTTGCCGAGTATCGAATTATTATTTGTTACAAAATTACAAAGATTTAATTTTCAATTGAAATCATGAGTTAACATTTGACATCATTTATAATGTTATTAATTTTATCGTTTCAATAAGTCTATCTTTATTTTTTTTTTTTTTTTTTAGTTATTTTAATCAGCTTTGTAAATTATTGAAAATTACTGTGTAAATAATCATAAATTATTGTAACAATTTTCCTAGGAATTAAGTATTGTGCAAAGTATTATATAGATAGCTGTCAAAAGTTATCTCTTTTGCCATTTTATAAACTGAAAAAAATAAAAAAAAGATAAAGTAAATTTCTTTATTATCAACTGGACGTTAGATAAAGTGAATTTCTTTATTATCGACTGGACGTTAGATATAATGAATTTCTTTATTATCAACTGGATGACCAACAATTGGTAACTATTGATAAAATGATAATTATTAAAATAACGAAATCAATAAAATCCTCTTTAAAAGATTTAAATATTTTTTTTTTCTTTTATTGTAAAGAAAAAAATTATTAATTAATATGTTAATAGGAAAAAAATAATGCCACATTCGGTGATCGGATAAAAAAACAAAACATTTTACAAATAAAAGCTTGTAAAAAATACAGAAACCCATAATGAAATAAATCTTTCTCTAATGTAACATAAAACCATAACAACAACAACAACAACAATAATAATAATAATAATAATAAAAACATAATAAAAAAAAATATATAAAAACACGTGATACTCGTATAAATTTAAAAGAATTATAATAGAATACAAACTAAATGAATTGAACGATATAATAAAATTAAAAAAATCTTTTCTTTGATAAATAAAAAGAAAAAAAGGAAAAAATTTGTTAGAAATACCTGAAACTATGATGGATACAAAAAAATGGAGAAAATGATATAAAACAAAATGAGAGGGGGAAAAAAAATAACAGAAAAAAGAAAGAAATCAAAATGTAGATTTGGGATATAGTATACAGGTGGATTATACGTAAGTTGTGTGGTGGTTTGTTATCGATTCTTTGTTAATTTATTCATACCGGGCAGTGGTGAATACAAGGAAAGGACGACATAATGTCGATGACGACGACGCGTTACTGGCCGGCCACAACAACTCTCTCGGTTTTGAAAACTTTCTTTCGTTTTTCATTGAACAAGTTTTGTACGAACGAACAACAACACAAATTGTGGTCGAACGCTTTTAGTTAATAATTAGTTAAAACACGTTTATTACGCCATTACTTTAATATCACCTTTGTTTTAAATCATTTTTCTTTTCTTTTTCTTTCTTTCTCCTATGAATTCGAAAAACATTGTATTCAACTTACTTTTCGCTTATAATTCATCGAATTCGATCTATGTCCGACATCGAAGAGGATCTTGCCGAGAGGCGACTCAAAATTGTTCTTCTCGGTGATTCCAGTTCTGGAAAAGTAAGTTTTCAAAAGTTTTGTTTTTTATTTTAAAAACATAACATAATATTAATAATAATAAATATAATTTTTCTGTCCCTTTAATATGTTCTATTTTAATAATCGTATACATTTAAATTCAAGTGTTTATTCGTTTATATTATAATATAAGAAAGAACAATTTTTTAGTTTAATAATAATAATAATAATAAATATTTTATCAAGGTAAAAAATAAATAAAAAATATATGTGAATGGCCAATCGATAAGACCTCAACGATCATGAACTTTCTCTCATGTCATTTAATAAAACTTGCATTGAAATGTTAAACAACTTGTAGCATTTTTAGATCGAAAGGGATAAATATAAATTATCGATCGGTAATGCAGTTTACACGAGAAATACTATTATAAGAAGTAAAGTATTGATTATTCTAATGGGATACGATAATCACAGATAAAATTGATTAATCTTTTACCTTATCTTATATCTCGGTCGATAAACGTTCTACTTTAATTTCAAATTTCCCGCGTCTCTGATGTACAAAAATGATCGATCGATAATGCAGTTTATACGAAATTGAAAAAACAACAAATAAAGAAAAATAAATATAGGTTAATTTTATATGAAATAAATTATTCTTTTTATTACTTGTTATCTCAATTAATAAAAGTCAATGTTAGTGACTTCAATGATTAAGTTAAAAATAAATAATTTCACAATAAGTAATATAAAAATAATTCAATGATATGTTATTTTTACTCTTGATAATTGAAATTAAAAGATCCCTTTTTAGACTAGCATCGCTTTGAAGTTTTGCACGAACGAATTTACGAGACAATATACTCCAACAGCCGGTATTGATTTCTTTTTAAAAAATATCACAGTTGGTTCTTATAAAAATGTTAATCTACACTTATGGGATGTCGGAGGACTTGCTCTTCATGGCACCATGTTAGATAAATATGTCTTTGCAGCTAACGTAAGACTTTGAAATATTATTTAAAACATTAATATAACAATGATTTATTATATATGTAATTACCTGTTACTAAATCTGCTAAATGTAGATCATTCTTTTGGTATACGACATAACGAACTCTTCAAGTTTTGAAATACTAGACGAATGGACCAATAAGATTCGAGGAATGAGCGAAAGTATAGAAGAGACACCTTTAATGGCATTGATAGGTAATAAATGTGACATGGAACATCAGAGAAGCGTTAAAAAAGATAAATCACATCGTTATGCTGCAGAAAATGGATTTCCATATTACGATATGTCTGCTAGAACTGGCGAATCGGTAATTACATTTGAATACTTTTAAATTTTCCCACCAAAAATTTTGACGCGCAACTTTATTCTTTTTTTCTTGGCGCGTAATTCAAACGTGTAAATATTTGTATATGTTTTCTTCAGGTATCTCTGTGTATCGTAAGTCTGGCTGCTCAAGTTTTAGGTGTAAGATTATCAAGAAATGATCAAGATTTTCATAAACCAATAATTATCGCTGAAATAGGAGATACCGTGGATATGAACACGATTCATAAGGTTGTAAAAAGATTTCCTAATAAGAGACACAATCCAATTTCCTTTCATTCACATTTTTCTGGTTCTAAATCAACAGTTTGCACATTACAATGATTTATTATATAATATTTATAAATTAATTTAATATATTAACGAGAACATATATATATATATATATACACATATGTAAAAATAGTTATATATTTACTAAAAAAGAAAAAAAAAAGAAACATATTCAATGGACTGAAGCTAATAACCTAACTTTTATATACTTATAAATATAAATAATTGTTTTCTTTTCTTCTTTTTTAAATAAAAAAAAATCGACACATAGAAATTTTAATATAAATTAATAAGAATAATTGAAAAACAATTTTTATTGATAATATTTTGCCTAAGAACAACAATAATAATAATAATAATAATAATAATAATAGTAATAATAATAAAAAGATTATTGTAGTATGTGTGTGTAAATTGTAACAAGGATTTGGAAATATTTGTCAATAGTATTGTACTATTGTAACAGCATGTTTTGCATATGAATTTTATGTATGTATGTGTGTATATCTGTGTTTGAGTGCATATATATATATATATATATATATATATTTATATATAATATAAATTTAATTTATCATAAAATATGCTTTAACATGATTCAACATAGAAATATTTAAAATTAATAATAATAAAATAACTAGATAAAAAAAAAAAACGAATATTTTAATAATTGGACAGGGGCAGAATAGGGGGGGGGATCATAAGACTTTGAGCTTGGAATAAAATTACATTGACTGTTTTAAAATTTCTATAACTTGCGCTCTAACAATGAGAATAATTGTAATACGCTTCTTGTACACACCACACATCATGTATACATATTAATAACATTTACGATTAAATTTAGTCTTATTTTCAAATGAAAATAATTCATAGAAGAAATAATAAATCAACTTTGGTATAGTAAATGTTTGCACTTTGATTGTACCACGCACAGAGATTCATCGTATAATTTCACTTTACCTTGCGTTTAACACGTTCTCTTTCGTTTTTTAGAATAAAATTCAATGAAAAAAAAAAAAAACAAAGCACATTGTATTATTTGTTTAAAATGACGAACGTGATACTTTAAATCACGGACGGCGTAGTTAATCATAGTATCGAGACTTTCATTCATATAACAACACTGTGTTGTTGAAAATTTAAAAGAACATAATATATGTATATATATATATGTATGTATATATACATATATATATGTGTGTGTTTATAATTAACTTATTACATTGATTATCTGTTATGAGTATCATAATTATATTAATATTATTGAATATCTTTATTAGTGAGAACAAAAACGTACGACGTATCTCAATTATTCGATTTTCTTTTCTAATAAATTTTTAATCAGTCTCTTATCATCTATTATTTCTGTTATCCAGAACTTGGGTTTGATGCCATTGTTAAAAATAATCGTATCATTTCAATCGATCTTTTTTAAAGGTCTCCTCTGCCACGAATTCTTTTCAAGAATTTTCTCTTCTGCTTCGTGTAATTGTGTAATTTCTTCGTTTATTGGAGTAACGTATGTTTCTATCCATTCTTGTATTGTATAATTATCATAAATATGTTCCATGGCAGTACGAAAATCTTTCTCAATGTACATTATCTCAACCTTATACCTATTTAAGTCGCCTATTATTCGTTCGATATGACTCGGACTTGAAAATTTGTATTTTATATTGTACGGTTTTAACCATCCTTTATATATGTTATCCTGATGCATTTTATTTATTTCTTGAATCAAAGAATGTAATCTTAGAGTAACTGCATATACTGCTGATCCGTGAAAAGCACATTTAGTCCATCCATATTGTGGTTCTGGTATGCTTAAAGATATTAGACTATCGCATTGTAATATGTCAGCTATTTGATTAGGTACTTCTTCAACAGGAAAACCACTTTGATTAGATACCTCCAACGCAGCAAGATTAATGGCAAGTGATGGAATGGCTGTCGCTAATAATTCACAGAGTACACTAAAATGATCGTATCTTTGCCATCCCGTTAAAATGACACCCTTAAAATTGATTTGGCTTGAATATTTGATTATTATTTCTAACCAACGTTGATGATTTGTCAAATGATAAGATATATCTGTAAAAAATCTATCAGGCGCAGTGGCACCTTTGAATGCTGTAGCAACCCAAATACTTTTCCAAACGGCACCATAACTTTCCCATAATTGATCGGTCAAAGTAGAGCCTGGATCTTTTGTATATTTCCAAACTACCGGTTCAACCAATAAATGTAAATCTTTATCTATTATTTCTTGAGGAGATATTTCACGAAATTCATCATCCCACATTAATACCGTTAAATGGGGATACTTATCCTTGATATATCTAGCTACTTTGGACACATGATCGAGGAATAATTGTTTTTTAGTCCAATTTTTTTTAATTATCAGATCAATACATCTTGAACATTCTGCTATTTGATATACTTCATCTGCTCCAATATGCAAGTATTTTATATTGGGATGTGCAGCTACGACTTGATCTATTACTTCATGTATCAATTGTGTAGTTTTATTATAAGTTGGGCATATTGCTTGAGGATATCTTGGTATCTCTCTATATTCCTTATACTTATCGAGTTTAAGAATAAATTCCAAATGTCCAAATGTTTGTATCAATGGAATAACAATAAGATTATTTTGTTCAGCTAATTCTTGAATGATACTTAAGTCTTCTTTGGTATAACAATTATAAGCGCTAATATCTTGTATATTTCCATCAAATGGAAACATATCCTCGTATTCAATGAGAATTCCAGTAGCGCCTAACTTTTTCAACAACGGTAAAAGATATTTGTAATAACCTATTTTAGGCGGTGCGCCCTTTAAATCTAAATGTACAATCTTGTGTCCTTTGTACAACGGATTGCTTGATGAATATAAATTGGCATGAAAATTGTCAGCGAATTGTTTATTTCTTAGTACCTCAGAATTTTTAGCTATATGAGCTTCCATTTGTTGCATTCCTGCTATATTGATAAGACTTTCAGTGAAATCGTTAACAGGATAAACATCTTCAACTTTTAATCTTGGATTTATTTTATCGGATGAAATATTGTCTATTTCGTTACTCAAAATATGATATATAACTACCAATAATGTGAACATGATCATTACGATTATCATAAGAGAAGCTCGACCTCTTAATCGTGTCATGTCAATTAATAATATCACAACGTAACAGCATTAAAAATTAATCACAACTATATATTCAACTTTTTATTGTCTACAAAATACTTTCTATTTAATTATATCACAAAAACAATAAACCGATATATTTCGATTAAATATAATATGTTTCTCGATTCGCCACTAACAGAACGATTTTATACTCATACTGAATATCTCGATTTGTTTGTTATCCTTAAAGTACGTGACACATTTTAACATCCTCTAACATCCGTAAAAATAAAATCGCATTAGTTAGCAAAGGTCAGATTATTGTTTGTGAGAATTTCTCTTTGTTGAATATTGCAATCATAACAAAATCACTAAAAGAATTCCCCATTTATATTGGTACGTATTCTCTCTACAGTTCTACCAACTTATATATATACGATCCAAATGGCGCCATTTTTGAAATTACTTATTTTTCGTACTACATCGATAATAAGATTTCTTTTTTTTTTTGTATTCCTTTTTTTTGTTATAAATAAATCGTATCATCATATACACTGAGAAAAAAAACTATATGCAGTAATATTCTATCAAAAGAATAGCAAAAGGAATGCATCCTTGTATTTTCCAAATTGAGAAAACAAATGGCTAATACATTCTAATGTGCGGTTCTCAACATGTACTAAATTTATTACTGTACATCTTAATGGAAATTTGAAAATATTACTGGGAAAGACTAAAACGAGAACAATTTATATATTTGTATGAATTCATGTCTTCTTTTTGTAGAAATTTCTATTACTTCATTATTACCGACTGGTAAAACATATGCCGCCATCTAGTGGTACTAGATATTACTTAACCTTACCGACTGGTAAACATTTATCACCATCTAGCGGTAATAACTATTACTTTATTTTACCGATCGGTAAAATAAACTTACTAGATTTGCAAATGATTTTTTATATAAATTGAAAATAATTTTTCTTAATAATTAAATTCACATTAAAGTATTGTAAAAGAAACATTCTGTGTATAAGATTTAAATTAATAAAATATATATATATATAAATTAAATCAAATAATTTGTTAAAATTATTTCTCGCATGTGAAACCATAAACAAAAAATCTTAACATGCGTACAAAAATATAATTGCAGAATTATGTCATCTCAAGTTAGATAATCTTATATTAATTTTTATAAATTTTACTACTTAAATACAAGTTTTAAGACAAACCTTAGAACTAATGGTCTGTGGCTTTGTGCTAGAATCATCGGCTCGTAGAACATGATGTATGAGGAAGTGGCACAATTTCAAAATAGATAAAGCAAATTGGTACTTTGAAATTTCATGCTTTTGCTCATCAAAGTAAAATATATATATCAATATCTTTTATATTCTTTTTATATAGTCTGTAAAGATATATCTCATTAAATGAAAAGAAACTACATTATTCGTAATACATCGTGTATATATATATATACGTACATGTATATTTTTCACTAACTGTTTTAAGTCCCAGGAATCTTTTTTTTTTTTTAAATCGTATCAATTAATGCCAAGTGAGATGACAAAATATTAATTTTACATTGCGTTTTAATAAAGTAGCAATTTTTGACAAAATGAATCTTAAAAGCATGATCACCACACTGCTTGGAACTTAAATGATTTAATATTGGGATTTTCACAGAACATGTCTTAGATAAATATTATTAACGAAGAAGAGAGATGTGTGTGTAGAAAGTATTATATTACACGAATTATATATTATATTTAAATTGTATTTATAAGCAAACGTGTAATTAATTGATATTTTTTTGTTTAGTTAATTAAATTAATAATAACGACAGCTGATGCAGCTGAATATATAGTTATATATACTATATTCTAAATTTCTTTAATAATATATTTTGAGTTATAATATATATACAAAGTACGAATGATATACTTGACAGACTATACTTTGATGAAATAATATAATTAAAATTTCTTTTACGGTTGATTTTTAGTCACTTCAGTAGACGTAGCTTTTGTAGCCGGAGTAGGAGGTATGGTCTCTGCTTTGTCTTCCGGTTTTTGATCAGATTCATCTCTAGATTTATTCCATTCCTGTAAACCTTGTGGTAATGTTGTATCTTCTTCAAAGGAGCCAGTGCCTTCGACGAATTCTTCGTATGTTGATTTTTCTTTGAAAGGTCTAGGTCCAATTAATGCAATCATATCGTCTCTATTTAAAATCTCTTGTTTTAAAAGATGCTCGGCTACCTATAAATTTATTCAAAATTATTTCAACCATTGTACGTACAAGATGGATGGATATCGTTCAAATTAATTATAACATTGATCTATACCTTAATTACATCTTCCTTATGCTTTGTAAGAATACTATGTGTGTGTTTATGAGCTTTATCAATTAACTGACGTACTTCATCGTCTATAAGTTGTGCTGTATTCTCAGAATAAGGTTTGTCCACAGCAAATTCACCTGGTTGTGGTCTTTGAAAGCTAACGTTTCCTACTTTTTCGTTCATACCAAACTGCACGATCTGAGCGTATGCACTTTCTGTTATCTGTTGAAATTAATTATTATTATTATAAATAAATTATTCGTTATTTGATATAACAAATTATTATCAATTATCTTTATGATACCTTTTGTAAATCATCACTAGCACCTGTTGTTATGCGATTAAAAAATATTTCTTCTGATACTCTACCTCCAAGCATTGTACACATTCGATCAAACAATTGTTCTTTCGAATAAAGATACTGTTCACGTGGTAAATATTGAGCATAACCTAATCCTTTTCCTCTTGGTATAATAGATACCTAAAAAATATAAAATATATTTATTAAGGTAATTAATAATATAAGTAGTAATTAGTTTGTATAAATTATGAAAAAAAGTACCTTCAAAATTGGATCTGCGTATTCCAAGAACCAACCTGTTACAGCATGACCAGCTTCGTGATATGCAACGGTTCTCTTTTCTTCCGGTTGTAAAACCTGTGTTTTCTTTTCCATACCAGCTATTACTCTTTCTATAGCTTGTTCAAAATGTTTTAATAAAATATTATCGTTTAAATCTCTAGCTGCTATGAGAGCTGCTTCGTTACAAACGTTAGCGATATCAGCTCCTGAGAAATAACAACAAATCATTTTGTTATATTATTATTTAGATGAAATTTTATAATAATATATATATATATATATTTTATTGTTTATTTTTATATACCAGTAAAACCAGGTGTCAAAGATGCCATTTTTCTAGCTAACTCATTTTTATCTAAAAGTGTTTTTAAACAGGCCAAATGGACCTTAAATATAGAAGCACGTCCTTTGATATCCGGTGCAGGAACATAAATTTGTCTATCGAATCTACCAGGTCTTAAAAGTGCTTTATCCAAGATATCCACTCGATTAGTTGCAGCTAAAACGACCACGTTAGTTGTTGTGTTAAATCCTGAAAGGAAGAGAAAATAAGAAATGTGTTAATACAAAAAAATATCTAATATTATTATTTATTTCAATAAAAATTAGAAAGAGGTTTTCTTCTGTTTTACCATCCATTTCTACCAAAAGTTGATTAAGTGTATTTTCTTGTTCCGAATGTCCGCCAAAATTACGGCTACCTCTTTTCCTTCCTACCGCATCAATTTCATCGATAAACAAAATACAGGGCGCGTGCTTCCTTGCCATAGAAAACATATCTCTTACTCTAGAAGGTCCAACGCCAACAAACATTTCTAAAAATTCTGAACCTGATACAGATATAAATGGAACATCTGCTTCACCAGCGGTTGCTTTAGCAAGTAATGTTTTTCCTGTTCCAGGAGGACCTATAATAATCCTCAGATTATAACATGTTCTATTTGAATTGTATCTATTATTTGTGTTATTAATTAAACAATCAAATATACCTGTCAACATAGCTCCTTTAGGAATCTTTGCTCCAAGATCTATATACTGTTTAGGATTTTTCAAAAAATTTACAAATTCCATAATTTCAATTTTTGCTTCTTCACATCCAGCTACATCTCTATATTTAAATTACGCATAGACAAAAATTTAATTTACTACTGTATAAATTAACGCACGATATCAGAAATTAATATAGCTTACTTAAATCGAACATGAATATCTTTAGAATTAATTAATTTAGCAGTTGATTCCATCACACCGCCAAATAATCCTTTTCTACGACCACCTTTTCCACTTATCGCTTCCATTGAACGTCGTAACATGAGTATAGCTAAACCTATTAAATTATATAATATAAAGGGTTAATATTAATCGTTAAATGATTAACTTTAGAAATGAGCAATAAGTAATAGTAATAAGTACCAAAGAAAGCAAGTTGCAGCATGTGTGTCACTAGAGTCGGTAGTTCTACTTCGGTTTTATATACAATGGGAACATCATGTCCAGGTTCTATATTTAATTCTATTTGAATATTTTCTAAATTTCTTTCAAATGTTTCGGTGCTTCCAATATTGAACCATAGTGTATTCTAAAAATAACATAGTTAATTAATATGATATATATTAATATGATATATGATTAAATATTAAAACACTTACGTATCCATCTATTGTATGACCAGGACTCAATTTGACTCGAACAAATTTTTTATTTACAACTTCCAACTGTTCTACTATTCCTTTACTCAAATAACTGAAATCAAAATTGAGAAATAAAATGCAACATAAAAAAGAAAAATAAGAAGAAATTGCATAAGTCAAAATATTATTTACTTGTTTACAAATTCTCTCCATGTTGTTTGTCGTGAATATATATCGTCTGAGAATGCATAAAACATTGCACTTATAGTTGCTACAAAAATTAATCCTCCCCATATGTATTTATCGTTATTGCCAAATGAGTTTCCTCCTTTTTTTTGTTGCCAATTTTCGCCAAAAATTTTCTCCGTCCAATTAATTTCACCACTACTTTTAGAACTTGACGATGATTCTTTACTACTACTACTACTTGATTGAGTATCTTTACTCGATGTACTCTCCGATGTTTTCTTTCCTTCTTCATTAACTTTAGTCTGTTTCGTACCACCTTTACATAAATATTAAGTTTATCCGCTTTAATTATTAACTCTTTACACTAAAACAATGTATAAGATTCATAATACACTTTACAGTCTACAACATGACAAACATGAATCCTACTTATGAACGAAATCTACGGATACAACATAAGAAGAACAAATATTTGTTTACAAATATGATATGCAATTCCATGCATTAAATTATACCTCAAAAGGTTAAGATTATTATTAATACTATTGTTATTGTCATCGTTATTAATAAAGGATACAAATAATGAAATGCTTTATTAAGAATATTGAATTACCTCGTTTAAAAAATTTTTCAAATCCTTTGGGATGTTGCTTGCACAACAATTTCCATTGTTGTTGCAATTCTTCAATTACAGGCATTGTGTAACATCTTTTTAGAATTGACAAATGTCTTTTTAACTGGAAAAGTATACAATTAAATATGCATGATATATTTATACAGTTATCGTATACATTTTATTTAACATTTCAATAAAACTAAGGGGTGTATATACATATATGTATATATATATAGAAAAGTAGAATACAATTTTGTCAATGAAAAATTAGAAAATAAGAAAAGTGACAATTATAGCAATAAAAAATAATGTTTATATAAAAAATTAGAATATAAGAAATTAATCGAAAATGATTGATACGTTTATTGAAATATTATATGTTGCAAGAGTAATAATGTTGGTTATATCATAAATAAATGATAGGTTATGTTTTATTAAAAACATACCTGAAATGTATCGAAGTGTCCTTTTTGAGCAGATACAAATAAAATTTTTTCTAATCTTCTTGCAGACAATAATAATTGATTAGCCATAATTAATATATATTAAATTAATTATTATTTCGCAAAATGATGAAATAATCCTTTCCCGACGTAACTAATGTCGATGAACAGTACAGTACCGGCGGCAAGCTACCTTTTCAAGATACTGCACATGAAATACTGATTTGCTAAATATGTGTGTGTATGTGTGTGTGTGTGTATGTGTATATGGACGGTTAATACTAGATCTAGTAAGATCTCAAATATAAAATTTTTAATAACTTATTTGATTTCATAATATTTTCATTTTCTTTCAAAGATATGTAAGTATATATTTAATCGATACGATTCAATTAAACGTTTCGATCCTTAATCAATTATTATTTTTTTTATTTCATTCATTTTTGTAACCTAAAAAAATTCGAATTCTTTTATTATTACTGTTATTTTATGAAAAATATTCAATTAAAATGAAATTTGTAATCAATCAAATATCTTTCATTTAAATTAATTCGTTAATATCATTGATTGTGTTAAATTGCAGTATAAATATAATAATTGTAAAAAGAAAATGTATTTTTTAAATGATGAAATAATGTATGTGTGTACTCACTGTTTTAAATTAAATTAGTAATTTGGATCATTTGACGGATGACAATTTGATATTAATTATTTTGACAAAATAATACACGTTAATTTAACATATTTTGAAGTAAAGAATAAAATGTTAGAGAGAAAATTAGACAATGTTTTTTTGATTAAATGTATATATATATATGAATATATGTGTGTGTGTGTGAGTATGTAATTGTTTTTGTTATTAAACGCGTTGATTGATAGTATTAATGATTTTGTTTGTTTTCTTTTGTTAAAGATCCATGTATTATTATTTACAGAATTCCGTAAGTTTCTTTCTATAAGCAGTTTAAAAATGCCACGTGATATAAGATCTTACTTTATGAGTACTACTGTTAAAAAATCAAAGGATCAGTCAACGGATAAATCAGATGATAAACCTACAATTAAAAGTAAAAAAAGGGCAATAATATCGTCTGACGACGAAGAGGAGGCAAAACCATCCTCTGTGGTAAAGCGTACCAAGTATACCAAAAAATTTAACAAGCATCATCTTTTATCAGACTCTGACGATGAAGTTGACAAAGTATCGACTGTTAAAAGTACAAAAGTAGAATCGATTAATAATACCAAACAAGAATCACATGTTAAAGATAAATTGAAAAGCACTATTTCACCAGCAGAAATGTTTAATAAAGGATCGGTGAGACGAGAAACCATACAGAAAACAATCAAGAAGAAGGATGACAAGGAAGATGACAAGAAGCTTAACGTAAATAAGTTAAACACGAAGAAATTAGAAAAGGAATATTTACAAAATGTCAAGGAAGATGACAATGATAAAGAAAGGAAGAATGATACGATAGATGATCGAAAAGAAAAGAAAACTAATCGAACTTCAAATGAAAAAAAGAAGGACAGTGTATCTGTCGATGATGAAATATCATGCAAAAACAAAGATACAAAACAAGAAGGTAGATCTTCTGGTAGTAAAGAATTATCATTAACTAATGAAGAGAATAACGTAGATACACAAATGAAAAATGTTCCTAAGAAAGCGTCTAAACGTTCTAAACCTATTTCCACAATAGAAATAGAAGCCAAAAAAGCGAAAAAGGATAATTCACTTAACAATAGTTCATCATTAGATGAATATGAAGAAAGAATTCAAATGAAAAAACAAAGTTCAATGTTATATCAGAAATATCTTAATAGGGGTGGAGCGAGAAATCCTGGTTCTAAGGAAATACCTCAGGGAGCAGAATATTGCTTAGCAGGCTTAAGTTTTGTAATAACTGGAGTTTTGGATTCGTTAGAAGATGACGAAGCTAAAGAATTAATAATAAAATATGGTGGTCGTATTTTGCATCAAGTATCGAGAAATACGGATTACCTCATAGTAGGTGAAGAATATGGACCTGCGAAGATGGCTAAGGCCAATGAGTTAAAAATTAAAAAAATATCTGAAGATGATTTGTTGGAATTGATACGAGTAAGACCTAAAGGAAAAGCTGAAGATATCAAAAAATCTCGTTCAAAATCTAAGGAAAATCCAACATCTAAGATAGAACATCGTGAAATACCAAAATTGCAGAAAAGTGATAAAGAAACGGTAGAAACTGTAAAAGAAACAGTAAAACCTGTAAAAGAAACAATAGAATCTGTAAAAGAAACGATAAAACCTGTAAAAGAAACAGTAGAATCTGCAAAAAAAACTGTTGAACCTGTGAAATCTTTGGAAACAAAATTAGATTCTAAAGTTATAAAAAACGATGCTGTTGTAATAACAAAAGGTTGCGAAGCATTAGTTGACAAATACAGACCGAAAAGTACAAAACAAATATTAGGGCAACAAGGAGATAAGAGTTGTGTGAAAAAGTTGCACTATTGGTTATCAAATTGGCATAAAAATCGAAACAAGAAACATGTAAAACCTAGTCCATGGGCAAAAAATGATGATGGAGCATATTTCAGAGCAACTCTGTTATCAGGGCCACCTGGTATTGGTAAAACTACTACTGCTCAAGTAGTATGCAATGAATTAGGTTTCGATCTATTGGAATTTAATGCATCAGATACAAGAAGTAAGAAACTTTTAAAGGAAGGAGTTTCCGAAATTCTATCTAATACAACAATTAAAAATTTCTTCACGGGAGAAAAGAATAGTAAACACGTATTGTTAATGGACGAGGTAGATGGTATGGCTGGTAATGAAGATCGTGGAGGTTTACAAGAATTAGTCAGCTTAATCAAATCTACAGATGTACCAATAATTTGTATTTGCAATGATCGTACTAATCCTAAAATGAAAACTCTCTCCAATTATACATTTGAACTTAAATTCCAAAAACCGAGATTAGAGCAAATCAGGGCAGCAATGAAATCGATATGTTTCAAAGAAAATATCAAAATATCTAATGAACAACTCGACCAATTAATTGAATCAACTAGTCACGATATTCGTCAAGTGATCAATCATTTGTCATTATTAATTGATAAATCTGAAAATGATAAAAAGACACAGTATAAACCGAACAAGGACATAAAATTGGGACCTTGGGAAGTAATTAAAAAGGTCTTTACTGTTGAGGAACACAAAAATATGAATATTAATGAAAAAAGTGATCTCTTCTTTCATGATTACAATATAGCACCATTGTTCGTACAAGAAAATTATCTTTCAGTTATGCCTGCAGCACCAAAAACTGAATTATTAGAGAGAGTCGCGCTGGCAGCAGAAAGTATAGCATTAGGAGATGGTATAGAAAAAGCGATTCGAAGTAACAATGCATGGTCACTTCTACCAATTCAAGCATGTTTTTCTTCTGTTATTCCTGGTAATATGATGTCTGGACATATACAAAGTCAAATTAATTTTCCAGCTTGGCTTGGATGTAATTCAAGAAGAAATAAATTTGATAGATTATTACAAGAGATAACTGTGCATGCACGTTTAACTACAGGTGCTAGTAAGGAAGCAGTCAATTTGGATTACTTGAATAATATAAGAGATGCCATAATTACACCTTTAGTCTGTAACGGTACTGAAGGAGTAGATGAAGCAGTTAATGTTATGAACCAATATCATTTGTTAAGAGAAGATTTAGATTCCTTAAATGAAGTTTCTATGTGGCCAGGAAAAAGAAATTCATTTCAATCAATAGAGAGTAAGGTATTAGCAGCCTTTACTAGAACCTATAACAAAAACTCTCCTGGATTACCATATTCTATTACTACCAGTAAGACAAAAAAATCAGCAGCAACTTCGCAAGAAGATTTAGAATCTATAGAAGCTATAGAAGATGATATAAATTCAGACGAAGAGGAAGACAACATTAATTTAGATAAAATGATAAAAGCAAAAAAGCCAACGGTAAAAAACAAAAAAGAAACTGAAGAAAAAAGTAATAAAAAACCTACCGCCAAACGTGGAAAAGTAAATAATAAGAAGAGTAATATTTAATAAGGAATATATATATATATATGGTGTTTTATGCCGCTATTTTCAATTGTAATTAAGTTCTACATATACTTGCCTTGTTTGATTTATAAAAATAAATCTTTCTACATTTATGATAAAATATCGTATGACATTATTTCTTAATTAAGTTCAATCATTGTTTACTTACTTACTTTGTTTTCTCTAAAGAAATAATCTTGATATTTTTCTTATTTTATAAAATATTAATAAAATGAACTCTTTATTGATTATACAAAATTATATTGGAAATGCTTTTTTTTTCCCAATTATGAATACTGTAATAGGTTTAACTACTTCGTCAACCTATGAAGATACAAGACAGTACTGAAAATACTTTGATCATATTTGTATAATATCTCTTACAGGGATAACAATCAATATTTGGATTTAATAAAATATTATTAATTCTCTATTATGAATATAAAAAATTACACAGGTGTTTTATTTCGTTATATATATGATAAGAGAAAGTTAATAAATTTAGAAATCAGATTTAGGACGCTTCTCAACCCATTTTTTGATATTTGGAAGATTAAGAACCTTATCCTGCAATGCTGTGAGATTATCATATTTCTCAATGATATTAGATTTCATCATTCCGTTCAAATAATCCAATAGAGCAACAAAAGTAAGATCTGCCCAAGTCAAAGCACCGCCAACGAAGTAACCACCGTTCTTTTTTACTTGAGCGTCCAGACGTTCCAAAATGTACGGTACTACTTCCTTAGCTACCTCCAATTTTGCAGCTTTTACTTCAGCATTAGTTTCATAAAAATGAGCAGCTATTTCTGAAAAAAGTATATGAATGAAATTATATGTAAATAAAATATAATAATTAATTTGATATAGAGGAATATTGATATCAAAGTAATTTACTTGCACGAAGATCATGAATAGTATCGACAGTAGCGTCGATCTCTAAATCTTGCCAGTCATCTTTTCCAGTGAGTTTAAATTGTTTAGCTAAGTAACGACTGATAGCAGTAGATTGATTGATTTTCTTTCCATCAACCTCCAACATGGGTACTTGTCCAAAAGGTGTAGCTATAAAACAACAATTTTTCAAAGGTTTTATATAATCCATATTAAATATAAAATGAGACTACTTATTTGCGTTTTGTATTATATTCTGTACATTTTTTATACTTACTCGGTTTAATTTTAGTGGGCCAATCTTCTCTGTCAAAACGAACATCTTCAAATTCAACTCCACCATAGCTGAAGAGAAAACGAATTGGCTCTGCCAAAGCTTTTACTGGGAAATAAGTCAACTTGTAGGAAGGCATTTTTCTGAAAGAAAATAAATTCAAATATATTAGTATAAATTAAAACGATAATTGTAAAACTTTGTAAATTTAATTATAAATTAAACAATTAAATAAAACTTTTATACGCGATTAGTATTATCAAATGTAAATAAATGTAAATAAATGTAAATAAGGGGAATAAACGTAATTAAATGTAAATAAATGTAAATAAATGTAAATAAATGTAAATATATAAAAATTTGAATTGAATACAATTTATCGATTATTTGTAATCACTAGTCGATAATCGATGATCGATTATTGGTAATCGGTAATTTGTTTAAAAAAATAAAATTTGTTGATAAAAAAAATTACTATGAACTACAATATCTTATGTTAGTATCCCACTAATGAAAAAAGAAATATAAATTACCAATGAAAAAATAATCAACTCATTATATAGATAACTAGATCAATATGATAAGAATATATCAGGTGTCAGATTGGAAAGATATACATTTCTCAAAAAATAAAACTTTCGAGAAATTTCTATTAGGTAATGGAATTGATTAATTACGTAAAGTAAAAAAGTGATGAATCATTGTGCCGATTTTTATAATCAGTTATTTACATGATAATGATTTTTTTTTTTTTGCACAATAATGATATTTGAAACTTTTATAATTATTCTATTACATTAAAATATAATATCAATAAATAATGATTAAAATAATTTAAATATATAATAATTAGTATTATATAAAAATATATATATATAATTAATATCTAATAACTAAAATTCATTTGAATAATCCGCCATTTTTTCATAATTTTTCAGTAAAATAATCACAAAATTCTATTTAAAAAATATTATCAATTTATTTATTTAACGCTATTTTAATAATCAATAATTATAAAAGTATATACTTTAAACATTTCTATTAAATAATTACTATCTGGATGTGTGCCATATTGTATTATCTTGATTCTATTAATAGAATTATAAATCTCAACCGGTGTAATTTCGAGTATTGCATATTTCGGTGTAATAAATCGATTTAACATTAAGTTATACAACCACATTCGTTTGACATTGTCATCGAGAAGTTTCGTTTGATATAACTGTATATAATTATAATTGAATAAAATAATGTATATCCATATATATATATAAACCCATAAAAAAAGTTAATCAATTGACCGGTTATGAAAAGGAGTCATCTAAAGTATCATATACATTATTAAAAGAAATAAAAAAAAAAGAAAAATGTACAAAGTCAAAATGTACTTACAAGTTGTCAGTTTATGTATGACGGTAAGCAGCAACGACAGAAATGTAATAGATTAATTCGAAAGAATAGTTCTTAAATACTATCGTGAACGATTTCGTATCTCGTTTATCAACTCCCACCAATGAATAAATCGACACTATATCTTATCACACCCTCCATCTTTTCCCCTAGTCCTAGTCCACCTTCTCAAATAATGAAGATGCATCTTAATGCCGCCATTTTGTAACTATACCAATCATCGAACGTGATAATCAATTGGAAAATTTAAATTTAAAATTGTTACAAATATGAAAGTGAATCTGAAAATAAATCTTTTTTCTATAATGAATAATGTAATAGGTTTAATTACACTGTAAATCTACGAAGATACAAAATAATATTGAAAAACTTTTATCACCTTCGCATAAATTCTCTTGTAACAATTACAATCAATATTTGTATATAATTATTTATTTTTTTCTTTCATAAGTATAGAAAAATACATAAGTTTTTTATTTCATAATATATATATATATGTACGATTAATAGGAAATTAATAAGAAATTTAGAATTCAGATTTAGGACGCTTCTCAATCCATTTTTTGATATTTGGATGATTAAGAACCTTATCCTGCAATGCTGTGAGATTATCATATTTCTCAATGATATTAGATTTCATCATGTAGTTAAGATAATACAATAAAGCAACAAAAGTAAGATCTGCCCAAGTTAAAGCACCACCAACGAAGTAACCACCATTCTTTTTTACTTGAGCGTCCAAACGTTCCAAAATGTACGATACTGTTTCTTTAGCTACCTCTAATTTTGCAGCTTTCGCTTCATCATTATTTTCATAAAAATAAGCACCAATTTCTGGAAAAAGTGTATGAATGAAATGAAATGTAAATAAAATATAATAATTAACTTGATATAGAGGAATATTGATATCAAAGTAATTTACTTGCACGAAGATCATGGATAGTATCGACGGTAGCATCGATCTCTAAATCTTGCCAGTCATCTTTTCCAGTAAGTTTAAATTGTTTAGCTAAGTAACGACTGATTGCAACAGATTGACTAACTTTCTTTCCATCAACCTCCAACACGGGTACTAGTCCAAAAGGTGTAGCTACAAAACAACAATTTCAAAGATTTTATATAATCCATATTAAATAAAAAAAGTAGACTTCTTATATTTGTGTTTTCTTTTATGTATTATATTCTGTACATCTTATACTTACTCGGTTTAATTTTAGTTAGCCAATCATTACTGTCGAAAGTATCATCTTCAAATTCAACTCCAGCATAACTGAAAATAAAACGGATTGACTCTGCCAATCCTTTACCTGCGAAGTAAGTCAACTTGTAGGAAGGCATTTTTCTGAAAAAAAAAACAAACAAACAATTAAAAATGTAAGAAAATAGAAATATATAAAAATTTGAATTGAATACAATTTATCGATTATTGGTAACCAGTAATCGATAATCGCTGATCGATGATCTATGATCGTTGATTGGTAATCTGTAATCTTTTTTCTTTACACCGAATGATTAAAATTATGAATGAAATAATAGTCAACTCATCATACAGATAACTAAATAAATATGATAAGGATGATATCAAATGTTAGATGGGAAAGATATACATTTCTTTCGAAAGATTTTTAAATAAATATTAAACCTTCGAGAAAGTTCTATTTGATAGTGGATTTTTTGAATTACATAAAGTAGAGAAATTTGTTGAATCACTGTGCAGATTATTATAATCACTTCTTTATGCGATAATGATTACTTTTCTTTGCGTAATAATGAATTAACACTTTTATTAATATTTTTATATATACTATAGTATGATAGAAATAAATACTGATTAAGATAATTTAAATATACATATATATATATATATAAAGTAACTAAAACTTATTTGAATAATCCGCCATTTTTTCATAATTGTTAGTAAAATAACTATAAAAATCTACTTAAAAAATATTGTTCATTTATTTATTTAACGTTATTTCATTAATTAATAATTACAAAAGTGTGTACTTTAAACATCTTAAAAAAATAATTTCTCGCTGAGCATGCCTTATTGTCTAAATTTAATTCTATTAATAGAATCATAAATGTCAACCAAATTTTAGTTAAAATAACTAACATTTATTTGAATGGTCCGCCATTTTTTTCATAATTGTTAGTAAAATAACTATGAAATTTTACTTAAAAAATATTGTTAATTTACTTATTTAACGCTATTTCTTCATTAATTAATTAATAATTACAAAAGTGTGTACTTTAAACATCTTAATAAAATAATTTCTAGCTGGGTGTGCCTTATTGTCTAAATTTGATTCTATTAATAGAATCACATAAATTTCAACCGGTGTAGTATCAAGTATTGCACATATTGGAATTACAAACCGATTTTTCATGAAGTTTTACAACTATTTTCGTCAGATGTTTATATTAAGAAGTTTCATTTTAATATAACAATGATTGTATATAATTATAATTGAATAAAATAATGTACATGTATTAATAAATAAACATATAAAACCATTAATCAATTCACCGGCTATGATAAGGTGTCATCATTTGAAAAGTAATCATTAAAATTATTAAAACAAATAAAAAAAATAAAAAATAAAAATGAAAATATACTTACAAATTGTAATTGTGAAAATCAAACAATAAACAGCGAAAATATAAATGAAATAGATCAATTATAGAAAATATAGTTCTATTATACTATCCTGAACGATTACGTGTCACGTTTATTGGTTTTCACCAATGAATAGATCAAATCTATACTTTATCATATCCTTCCCCCTCTACACCTAATCGCGTCCTTCTTTTCAAATAATGAAAATGCATCTTAATGCCGCCATTTTGTAACTATACCAATCAACGAACGAGATAGCCAAATCGAAAACCTTAATAATTATTACACACAAAGTTGCTTTTACGAACAAATCTTACTCATACATTGCTCAGTTATGCCTAAATACTTATAGTTTGCTAAATTTGCGAGCTATCCGCTCATGAAGATTGACGTTAATTATTACTTTAAAAAGTGTATCGTTCTGTGATATCGTTTTCCTCACGTGATATACATCAATAAAGTTTGTTTCGTCAAAGAAAAGTAATAAGAAATATAAGAGAAAAAAACTAAGGAAAAAAAGAAACCAATTAATTTGACAATATATACATATATATATACATGTGCATAAGTATATAACAAAAAAAAAAAAAAGAAAAGAATTAATATTGTACATTGTAGTGAATTTTTTTAGTTCTTTCTTGTTTTTTTTTCTTTTTTTTTCTTCTTCATTCTTTTTCTTTCATTATTAATACTATTATTACTTCTGTCATTAATATTATTATTAGTGTGATCATACGATAAAAATAGCTGAAATTATTTTCTTGCGAATTGACGGTTTTTTTTTCTTTTCTTCTTATTTTTGATTTTTTTTTTTGCCATGTAAAGGGAAATCGGTCACACATACATGTACGCATATATATATATATATATATATATATGCGCAAATGCATAGGCAAAATTTCCATAACCATCTTCGAATGGAATTTCTTTCTAGGATGACGTGCGAAGTGTCAAATTGTTGAAGAAACGACGCTGATGAAAGAAGTTAATCGCATAAAATATTGCATCCAGCTGGATTTAACGTTCATTCGGAATTCTATTTCAAACTGAGATAATTCAATGTCATGAATTTATTAAGTGGCAATCTCTTCTTCTCGTGATGTTTTAAATAGTTCACTACTAACTTGGTAAACAATTAAATGCACAGTAGGTAATTACTTATAAAAAAAAAAAAATATATATATATATATATGTACTAGTATATATGTATATATATTTTTGTACGTTACTTTGTATTATATATATATATATATATATATATATATATATATATATGTATATTTTTTGTTCCATTTTATATACTATATTAGTCAATATAATGTTATTTACTTTTTCACATTTTAATATTTATATTTGAATTTTTCAAATATTGCCTGATATTTTGACAATATTATAATTATAAGAATTATTATTAATGACCATACAAGGAATGTCAGTTTTTTTTTTGTACAAAATCTGTAAAAAAAAAAATACAAAATTTTGTCTTTGTATTATTATTTGGCTAAATTATATATGTTAAGAATTATTCTTTATGTATTATCAAAATTGTTTTATTGACTGCGAAACGAAAATTAAGAATAAAAGTGTAACTGATATATTTTTTCTCTCAATTAACATATATTATATATTATATATAATTTATAATATATAATATATAATATATTGTATAATATCCTGTATAAAAATATTTTATACAGGAAATTTATTAACACATTAACCGTCAAGTGTCTTTTGTTTAACTTTCTGTTCAGATTATGATAATCCATCATTTGTAGAAAGAAAAATGTTGGTCATTGGTGACCAAAGTGGTCTGAATGGAAAATATATTGTAGATCACTGCTGATTAATGTGGCGTTTAATGTGTTAATGTTAAAATAACAGGCACAAAAAGGAGACATTATATTATTTTTAAGTTATTATTTTATTAATTATTAATCGCACATCTCTTATTAATTTTATGTGTAATAATCTTGGTATTATTTCTTTAGATATACTTATATTTGAAGAAATAAAACAAATAATTATATATATATAGTTCATTTGCATGAATGGTGTATAATTTGGTGCTTTAATGAATGTATTTATTAAATAAAGCTACAATGAAAAATATCAATATCAATATTATCAATATTACACTACTTTCGTTTTTTTTTTATTTGCACAAAAAATTGATTGCAATTGAAAGTATCTAATTCGAATTAAAAACTGTAACACGTTTGCTATTGTTTTGTAAACAATGATTTTTCCAATCATAGCCCAAAATTTCATTACTATTATTACAAATAGGTGACGCTAATTTGTTAATAAAAATTAGTATGATACATATATGTAACATTGATAGTGAACGTGTTAATTATTTTAGTTTAAATTGATTGATTTTCAATCAAATTGTATTTTCCAAATTCTTCTCTTGTTCCTAATGAAAAAAAAAAAATATATATATATATATTTATAAATATTTTGTCGTACCATATTTAATAGAATCCTCAAAACAACAGTAATAAATGGGGAAAGTCAAAAAAAGGTCGATATTGCTGCATAGCAATCCTTCTCAGAATGTGATACGCAACCTTATGTTAAGAGATTTAGGTCTTCATAGTATAAACAAAACAAGTGCACGAGAACTTGAATCTATAGCGGAAACAAATCTTGTTTTGAAGAGTCATAGAGAGTTGGTACGTATAAGTATATATTATCATATTTCATTTTATAAATTTAAACATATTTATATATATATATATATATTGTAAAAGAAATTTATACAACCAGATATGTTCTTTCTTTTCTCATCTTTTTTGTTAATCATATAATTACACTATTTGATTAAATTATAATTTTATAGAAATGCGATTTACCTGGGATTCCTAGAGCTTCATTTTTAATGGTCTTTAGTCCTGATGGGTACGTCATATTGGTTTTCATCTAAAGACATTTAATATCATTAAAAATTAATTATTATATTTTAGGACTAAACTAGCATCTACGCATGGAAATCACAATGTATATATTACAGAAGTTAAGACAGGAAAAAATATAAGAACACTTTCTGGTCATCCACGTACACCATGGTGTATAGCTTTCCATCCATCTTCAAGTCAAATATTAGCTTCTGGTTGTCTCGGTGGTCAAGTTCGTGTATGGGATTTAAGTGTAAGCTACATTTGAAATATTTTATAATATTAACATGAATAAAAATTACAGTTAGAAATAAATAACATAATAATGTTATATTAGGGAGGTAGCGAAATATGGAATGCTGTAAGTCATACCGTTATTGCATCTCTTGCATTTCATCCATCTGAACAGTTACTCGCAATAGCAACTTTTAATGAAATTCATTTTTGGGACTGGAGCAAATCTGAACCTTTTGCAGTAGCTTCAACAGGATCGGATCAAGAAAAAGTGAGGTAACTGAAATTATTCATTAATATCTTAAATATATCTTTTATTTGATATTTTTAATGAATCTAATCGAATTTATTGTACTATCAAAAAAAAAAAATATATATATATTTTATAGGTATGTAGCATTTGATAATCTTGGAAGAAAATTAATCACAGGTATCGCTAATATTTTACCATATCGACCAAAGAAAGACCGTTCTCCTTTAGAACAACATTACAGAACCCTTTTAAGGTATATTATAAGGTATATTCTATTATATTAAGATTATTTTATAAATTCTTGGCTTTATTCACTTTAATATCTGTTTTATTTTAATTATCTACTGGAAAATTCTATTCGTTTTTCAATTAAAATGAAATAATGATTTCAATAAATTTAGAATCATTGGGCAGAATTTTTTGGTAGATAGACCAAATATATATATATATATATATATAAAATAAAAGCCACGAATTTTTCCATTTTTATTACCATCTTGTAAATCTGTAACACATAAAATATATATATTTATATATATATAATATTTTTATATGAAAATATAGAAATCAACTGGAAGCCATTCAAGATCCTGAAGTATTACCACGATATCATTTATGGGATAATACATTTCGTCAAATTAGAATGATGAATAGTTATACGAGAAGAATAGAAAATTTGAATAATGCATCTGATCTCAGAGCTGCTAGAATGGCAAGAAATCCTCCTAATACAACAGACGTATTACCTGATCCAAGTAACAGACATAGGTAATTCATTTCACTTCACTGTTTAATTAATGTATTTGTATTTTTCTTGTTTACGTGTTTAAATGAAATTATTCTATTATATAGAAATTCATCTTCATTAAGAAGAGTATTTGATGAAATTAGACGAAACATATGCTCCGAGCATGTATATAATACAGAAAATGTGCAGAATGAAACTGTGGACGATGAAAATAGTGGAGAACAATCTGAGAATGGATATTGGCTTCTTGAAGAAAATAGTAATTCAGATTCGAATCTTGATGAAGCGAGTACGAGTAATGCTTCTAATTCAAGAAGATGGACTAGTCGCTGGATTCAATTAGACTCGTCTAATAGAAATAATAATAATAATAGTAATAATAATAATAATAATAATAATAATCGTACATCTTCGCTCGCTGAACGAACGCATACAAGATCTAGATCCGATGAAATAATTCAAAGGTATTATCAGAATAGAATTCAAAGGGAACAGAATAGGCTTTCTAATAGAATTCAAAGGGAACAGAATAGACTTTCTAATAGAAATCAAATAACTCTGACATCTGCTAATTCTTTAAGCTACGAACAACCACCATTATATCCATTTAGAAGTTTACAAGAAAGTCAATTTAGAAGATTAATACAACGTACAGTACCAGAAGCTAATCCTTCTAGTAGTAGTTCAACTAATCATCATCAACAACAACAACAACAACCTGTCAATCCTTCTGCGAATACGAGTAACGCATCAATGAAAAGAGAATATTCAAGCACAAGCAACAATGCTAATACGCAAGAAACAAATATACCTCGAAAAAAAGAAAGAACAGAAGGTGAACGTTCAACGGACAATCAACAACAATGTGAAAATAATGAAGCTGAAAATCAATTAAGAGGTGATAATGTTCGTTCTGAACGATTATTACATCCAGATACGGAGGAAAGAATTAGAAGATGGAGATTATCCGTTAATCGGTCGGACCAAGATGTCGGTCTTCATCCTTTGGAGATTAGACTTAGGATACGTCTTCTTGGACGGCAGATAGATAATATGCAACGTTTATGTAGGTATGTCAACATTTTCTATACAGAAATATTTCTTAATCTTTCTTTGATATAAAATGTTTGTTTAAACATGTCAGATGAAAAAAAAAATATATATAAATATATATATATAATAAAATTAATAAATAATATTTTGTCTATATCTATTTTGTACAGAGCTAGAATAGAAATTGCCCAATTACGACAGGTGCGTAGAATGTGGGAAGACTTGCAAGATCAAATACGTTCCCTACACGTAACTGTACGAGTTGAAGGACAAAATAATAATCGTGAAACATCAGCTGGACAATCTAATATAACTACAAACGCTGGGCCTGGGCCTTCGACTTCTGGACAGAATTCTTCATCAATGTCAACAGATTTTCAAAGCGAATTTATTCAAAAATTTAACAAGACTATTTTAGAAAATTTTAAGAGAGAGAATAGTGAGACTGGTAATAATACTAAAGTATGTGATCAAAATCAACCTTCAACATCTACAGGAATAACAAGTTCATCAAAATTCGTCAATAGTGATTCACAAAATCATAATAGCAATAACGATGAGACAGAAAATTCTACTAACATACGTTTATCAAATTTATTACCAAGCGATTCTGAATTACGCGATATGGAGGCGCATAATTTATCTAATATATTGGAAAATCTGTTCTCGCAATGTCAAAATTGTAATCTTCCTGATAATTCACAATATACAAATAATGCGACAAATGATCATACTTATTCTAATTTAACGAATAACGATGAAAATGTACAGTTACCAAGTATATCAAGTCTTGTTTCTAATATTGGAATTGCATCTAATTTACAAACTATTTCTGCAATGACTGCTACAACTTCTCAATCACCTAACGTTTCACATTTAGTTAATAATCAAGTAAATAATCCAAGTTCTGTTACAAATGAAACAATGCAGACAAGTGATAACGTAGAGTATTCTTCTGAAGATGTAAATATGCAACTTAATAACGATAACATTAATAATAATGAATATCTTAATACTAATATAGAAGATTCGTCTAATATTTCGGAAAATTTGAATCAAAGAATACAACCTGAGTCGTCATCGTCGTCAAATAATATCAATTCACAAAACAGACCGCATATGTTTCAAAAATTTCCTAAATATGGACTACCAATGTACTTAAGGTAAATATTTAATCTGTTATAGATTATTTTAATCATTTCTATAAATAAATAATAAATATATATATACATATATAGAAATTCAAGATTATCGCCACTGGCAGCTAAAAGAGGTTCCAGATCACATTCAAATAATGAAAGTAATTCTCGTGAAAATGTAAGAAGGCCATGGCATTCGCGTAGAAATCCTCCTCCCAACATATGCGACAGTACATCCAATGAAAATAGTGGTGAAAGAAATCAAGTGCAAAGTACTTCAGAATTTTTACAATTAATGATACTTCGATTGGAATTTTTAGTTCGTCAACAAAGAGCTCTTGCTCAAAATAATATCGGTAGGAATTTTGATAGTAACAATCAAATGGACAATATTACTAATAGTGAAAATGAAGAAATAGAACAAATTCGAGAAGCAACTCGTCTTCAAGCTAGGTACGATTTATATTAATGTATAAAGGTATCATTTGCGTATGATATTTTTTTTTATTAAAATATGTATATTATGTTGACATAAGTTTTTGTTTGATTTTAGACAAGTTCTTAGTTTGATGGTAGGAGGATTAACGCAATTTATTCAAATGAACAGACCTGAAAATGGATCGCAAAGTAATATGCTTTACGAACAAATCTATAGTAAGTTTTTGAAACGTTTATTAATTTATAAATGTATATATTAATATCATTTTAATTATATTCTATTTTTCTTCTTTTTTCCTTTTATAGAGATGTATTTTTTACTACACTTAGCATTAGAATTAACGGATTTGTTATTAGTTCAATTAGTATCTACGAGACAAGAATTAGAGTCTAGTCAGTATGGACCGTTTGGTTCTGATCTCTCGTCTCAGAGTAGTAATAGAACAGAAATACCTCGAAGTAATAATCTAGATAATCATTTACAAACGGATGAATATAATTCGAGGAACAACGTACAAGTGGTATCAGAAAATAATGACGAGACAGAAATTTTTGAAAGAAATATCGATGCTGAAAATCCTAGAACGTCGCTTGAGATAAATCAAGCAAATACAGAAGATCTTCTTTCATTAGAAACTAATAGAAATCGTCCGAACATGGCAGAACGATTGAAAAGATTGTTCTTTCATCCGCAACAACTTAATACGGAATCGCAAAGTAATAATACTAATGAAGAACGTCAAAATTTAAATCATTTAACTTCACATGTTAACAATTCCATAAATACTGATAACACTGCTACTTTTACTACACAAAATCATGAGTTTCAGCAAGCAAGTACAAGCACTGCTAATAATTCATCGGAACATGCATTGTCTGTTGAGATACAGAATATTATTGAAAGGATTCAAAACAATAGTTCGACTAATACCGATAGCTCTACAGAAAATGATAGAAGGCGAAGTAATTTATATCCTTTAAATAATAGCGTTACCTATAGAAATAATGGTTCTCGTGATTTACGTGCTTCTCATGAGACTAGTAATACAACTGATATTAATAGACATCTTAGAAACTATTGGCAAAATAGACTTCTTCGGTATTTAAATGATATCGAACAAGGAAATCCAAGATTAAATTCCACCAATTGGAATAATTTTATTCAAAATGAAGAAAATGCTAGAAGACCGTTAAATACCGATAGCTCTACAGAAAATAATAGAAGGCAAAATAATGTATATCCTCTAAGTAATAGCATTACCTACAGAAATAATGGTTCTCGTGATTTACGTTCTTCTCATGATAATAATACAGCTGATATTAATAGACATCTTAGAAACTATTGGAAAAATAGACTTCTTCGGTATTTAAATGATATCGAACAAGGAAATCAAAGATTAAATTCCATCAATTGGAGTAATTTTATTCAAAATGAACAAAATGCTAGAAGACCGTTAAGTTACCAGGGACCTGGTTTGTCACCACCAATAATAAGAAGAGTCTCTACACCTTCTCCTGGTTATATTAATAGATACCTTCGAAGGGATCGTAGTAGACGTAGAATAATATCTTATAGAAATGGAGTATCTCGCAGACAAGAATTAAATGTTCCGATTATACGAGTTAATGGGATACCATTGAACGAATTAGGCAATTTACCAGCAAGTCAAAGAAGGAGACACATTACTCCGTCTCATATTCTTCCACCATATTTCATTGATAATTTTCCTAATGACGTTGAAAGAAATGGTAATAACAATAACAATAATATTAATAATAGTAATAATTATAATAATAATAACAACAATAATAACAACAATAATAACAACAACAACAATAACAATTATAATAACAATAATAATTATTATCATCAACCTGGACCAAGCTCGATATATCCATATCATAATAGAACCAGGGTACGTTAATGATCATTTATCGACAAAATATTATTCCAATAAAATATTATAAATCGATAATAAATAAATAATGTTATAATTTTGTGCATTTTTAACAGAATCTACATCAAATGTTAAATCCAATAGTTTTGGCACAAACTATGTGGCGTAATCGTACATTCGGGCGTTATTCTGAATTTGGTTTCAACTATCCACAATCTAGAAATGCTAGTAGTAATATGACTGGAAGAGGAAGTGGTGGCGGAGGTGGAGGTGGTGGAGGTGGGGACGGAGATGGTGATGGAGGAGGAACAAGTGGTGGAGGACAAGATACTGGAAATGATGATAGCGATGATATCGATCTTGGAGGTATATTAATTGTATTATATATAATACTTATTGTTATTAAATATTTACAAATAAATTAGGATATTTCATCGTGTGTCTATGTGTGCATAGATATTCTACATATTTATATTATTTATATTATTTTTTTAGATCATCACATACCAGTAACTATGACAGTTAATAGCATTGAAACTCAAACTTATCGGGTTCAAGCATGGGATTTTTCTAATGGTGAAATTCCAGACCTAACTGATCGTAAGTATAACAAATAGATATCATTTTGTTGAAATATTAAACGTTATTCTTGAAATAAATCAAATTTGAATTTTCAGCAAAGAAAAATATTGTTGTGCACGAATGTAAGATTCATAATGATGCTAGTATTGATATTTCATCCGATGGAAAAATGATAACAACATTACTGTCATCGCCAGGAGCACATAATATTGGAACAAGTCTAGGTAATTAACATATCAATTATTATTGTTCATCATTGTTATTTTCATTTCTTCTTCTTCTTTTCTTTGATAATAATCTGTGTGAACGTTATACATACACTTCAGATATATACAGTTTGCAATGGGAAACTTTAGGAGAAAAAATTTATTCGACAAAAATAGATCAAACGGTTGTATCCGTATCAATGTCACCAACGAAGCAACATCTTTTAGTTGGTTTAGCATCGCAAAGAATTCGTCCAAGAGGATTTTTAATGGCATTAATTTTCAAACTCACTGATAAAGAAACTAATAAAGAAAAACAATGTATAGTAGAACAAATAGATCCAGAATATTATAACGAACACAGTGATTCATATAGAACGGATGAATTTGTTCATGGTACTGATAATGTGGCTAATCCAAGATCAAACAATGACGACATCAATAGACATGATCAAGATTGGCGTCATCGTAGCATAAGAACTGATCTGGATATTAAAGATAATAGAAGGAATATGGTGCTTATTAGAAAACTGTTGCTATATATTCCAGGTAGTACTGGATATGTTAGTTTAAATTGTATAAGATGGGCACCACAACCTGGTCAAGGAATGGTTTATGCTACAAACACAGGCCAATTAAATATTCTCCATTGATGTCGTCGTATCTGTGAGAGTGTGATCCGATATTTTATTCTATTATATATGTTAATAAAACTAAGTTAAGTTGATATATATATATATATATCAATTAAATTACTTTTTGGAAGTAATAAAGTGAGATTGTAGATTTGTGAAAAGGAAAAAGAAAAAAAAAAATTGAAAAAAAGGGAAAAAAATTCCTAAAATGTATTCACGATATGATATGTGAAGAATTAGTCAAGTATAATAATAATATGTCATTTACAATTGTAATATCTTTTTTCTTGTAGATTGTAAAAGATTAAAGTAAAAGTACCGCGTGCCGCGTATAATAATATCAATGTTCTTATCATAATGAATTTCAGCTCCGTAATCGTATTTTAAAGAAAAACAATACTAATAACAGAACAAATGGCGCAAAATTCCACGAAGGAGCTGTGCCTTAAATTTTAATTTTTGAAAAAAAAAAAGCATTGTTGTTAAATTTTTATGTTCTACGATGAGAAAGTGTGATTGTAAAAACATAGAATATGACGGATAAATGTATCGATATATATATGCATTTGATTAATATGTTAATATATATATATATATATATAGTTTGTAAGTTCACTACAATTTGAATAATTTAATAGTATATCCAATTTATATTGCCTGACTGACAACTTTTAATTATGATCTGAAGAACATCCTTTTAATTGCGATAACTTGTAGGAATAAAATCCTCTTTAATTATAAGAAAATCATCACACACACACGATATCAATATGTATTTGTTAATATAATTGTGATGCAACTAATTAATAAATTGTGCATGAACGAACAATGTTTTCATGCTTTCGTAATGCCACACACACATACGATCTTCTTTAAATTATTTTTTATGTAAAGTTAAATTGTTTATACGAATAAGGTATTTTTTCTTTTCTTTTTGTTTCGATCATGTTTCATATATATATATATATTTTTTTTAACCATTCTTAACATATTCAATTGTATTATTGTTGTTATTATTATAATTATCATTATTAATGAAGACGCAATTTTTATGAAGCATAGAAAATTATTAATTCAGTCAATCGCTTCTTAATATCAATAATATTATCCAAAATTCTAAAATAATAAATAAATATTCTAGAATACATAACAAGTGTAAATAAAATAATAACAATATAATAATTATTATATTATATTATTTATACATATAATATATATATAAAATAAAAATAAAATAAAAATTTTTTTTTATACTATATCCAATCGTTTCAATTAAATTATTTGTTTCAACCTATCTTACATTAATCTTTTTATTTCTACATAACTGCTACAACCTAAATCTACCTTAATTTAACTTGATTTATCATTTGATCTTTCTATACCATTTTTATTTCATACACTTTTCTTTAAATGTAAATTATACCAAGTCTTTTATAATTTATTATTTAGATATATTATACTTAAATAAATACTTACATATTATATGTATAAATGAAAAATCTCTTTTTCTAATAATTATCATACATTGCTAGATGTATTTATAGTATTCTAAATTATTGCATAAGCATCTACAGGTAACCCTCCTATAACACGGTGTTGTATGAGACCCAGAGTCATGGGCCAAAAACTTTTGTTTTCAGACTATGGAGATGAAAAGAAATACTTTCCGCAACACTGTATCTTTAAAATGACAAGCTCCGCCGCAGCTGTAGAAGTACAGTGTTGTAAAAAGGTTTTCTTGAAAGGAAACCGTGTTATAGGAGGGCTGACTGTACTTAAATATCTAATAAAATGTATATTATTGCACTACATTAAAAAATGTATAGAGAAAACTTTACAAGGACAATATTAAATATCATTACACATTAATCGTCGTATAATAAACTATGCAACAATTCAGGAGTCTCTGGTTGTTTTAAACAAAGAGATACTTTATCTTGTGAACTATTAGTATATTTATTTTGTTCCAATTGACCGAGATCATGATCCAGCATTGTTTCTATCTCGTCGTCTATATAAAGAGGATTTTCATACATTTTATTAAGATAAGATGTACTAGGATCCGTTGAATTGATAGTCTCGTTAATAGTCTTCTGTATTTCGCTTTCCGATATATATACCGCGTGAAAATTATTTAAAGGTGCTGACATATCACGATTTATAACTTGTGTATTATTCTGAGGTTGTCCTCTTATCTCTGTTAACGATTCAGGTATTTGATGACATTTAACTTGATGTACTTTTAAATTTCCTGTTTGTGAAAATGTTTTAGTACAAAATGTACAATGATACGGTCTCTCTCCGGTATGACACCTCGAATGTCTTTGTAATTTGTACTTAGTTACAAATTGTTTACCACACTCTGAACATGTAAAAGAATTACTATCGATAGCCATTACATGACCATGTATAACCGACTGATCCATATCCATATGAAAATTAATCATATGTGAATTTAAAGATACTTTATAACGAAATGATTGATGACAATTAGCGCACTGAAATTGTTTTTTTCCTTCGTGTCTTTCCATATGTTTCATGAGTATTTCTTGCTGATTGAAAGACATTCTACAAATCTTTAATTAAATGTATATTATAATAAATAAAATATATACTTTATAATAGTAAGTAGTATATAATAATTATATACGTACTGTACATATAAAAGGCCTCTGTCCTGTGTGTATACGTTTATGCCTTTCTAAATGCGCTTGACATCTAAAACTTTTTGTACATATAGGACATATAGATTTCCTTGCATCCTGTTTGTTCATTGAGGATTTCTCAATACTATCATTTTCTTTCAAATGACATAACATATCCTGTAAAAAGTATTCATTTATAACAAATTAATAACAATAAATATAAAAATGATTTATACATATATATATATATATATATATACCTCTGCGAAGTCAATTTCTAAGGAAGGAGCAGCTAATTGCTTTTGTACATTTGCAACCATTAAACAAAATTCATCGAATATACAAATCTTCTGTTCGCAATCCATACAAACATACTTTGAGAATACATCCGACGTTGATATATTTATAACCTAAACAAATAAAATATATAAATATATTATATAAATATATTATAAACTATGTGATATAACCTAAATAATTTTAATATATAAAATATAACCTAGATTATTTAACAATTGTCAGGTAATTAACAAAATAGATAATTAATCAATATATCTATAGTTAATAATTACCTCTTTTGAGAAATATTTATTAATAATAGAAATTAACACAGCACCTTTAACTTTATCTTTAAATACATCTGTACCTTGTTGTTTTTCTTTACCACATAAACGACACAATTTTGAACTCATTTTATGAAGCATCATTATTAAGAATTTAATTAGTAATGCAATCAGAAATAATTATTTAATCTGTTATTGATTTAAATGATCATTAATTTAATATTATTTCATTTCACACACGAAACAAACACAGTACGCTATGTTGTCACTTTGCAGAACTGTCAGAAAGTATTATATGTAGTAGTTACGTGAACCACCACAGGTGTCGCTACTGGTCACTTTATTTGGCGGCAAAATTTGAAATTTGAATTAAAAGAACATTTATTTTAACTAAAAATTGAAAAATATAATTTACACTATTTTTATAAATATATTATGAAATTCATACTTTTATATATCTTATTTTCTAGGAAAATTTAATTTGAACTATAAATAATATAAGAAAGAGGAAAAGATCTGATTCGTTAAGAAAAATTAAATATTTTGCAATATGTTAAAGAAATAATATTTGTTAAGTTTTTAAATATTTGTAACAAAAGAAAAAGGTAGTATAGGAAGAGAAAGAAAATATATAGATACAATGTAAAACATTTTTTTTAGCGAACAATGCGTTTTTTTTTTCTTTCATTTTTATGTTAAAATGAAAATCCAATGAAAAATGTACAATTGTGGATAGTTAGATAATTTTAAATAGTAAAATGATTTACGATATACTTATACATGATTATATTCATTACAAGTCTCATTAAAGTAAGAATATACAAGTTTCATTAATTAATATGTCTATATATCACAACTTCACATTTTCAGAGTATTGGCCATAATACGTTAGCAAAATGTTTTTCTATTTTCTTTTTTTAATTATGTTTTTTTTTTCTCTGTGTCGAATAAAATACTAAATAAAATATAGGACTGTAGTTATTTAGGATGGAAGACTTGAGAAAGTGGATACTTTAATGGTATCTTTCATCTCAAGTATAAACACTGTGCAACTAATTCTAATAAAGCGATTCCGGTTTATATAATTAATATATCTTACGTATATCATAGATATATATATAAATTTAGCATAGCAATTTATTTACAGGACGCAACAAGACTTCATTTGAGATTGTCTTTATACTGAACCCCTTGTTCTATTTATAAAAATAGTTGTACTAGAAATTTTATAAGTTCTATGTCTTCAGAAAATGAAGATGTAGATATCAGATCAACATGACCCGATCTCCTTTTGTTATACATTGTGGTGTCATCAATATTATTTTTTTAGCCAGCTTAATATTTCAATTATAATTACATTATCATCATTGAGTTGTATGAGTTAATGCAAACGATAACCAATTTTTTTCTATTTTTGTTATAATAAAAATATTATCCCTTGTTTAACTGTATCGAGGAACTAAAGAGTTTATTCATATGGACCAAAAATTTGAGATATGTTACATCTATTTATGCTTATATTAAAATTCTTTAGCTCCACGTTACACATTATTATATAATGCAAAGAGAAAGAGAAAGAGAAAGAGAGAGAGAAATTGAGAGAGAAAGAATACGCTGTAAATGTTTTCAAACTTTACGTATTAAATTCGACAGTCTCATTGCACTATATTTCTAATATAATATTATGATTTTTTTTGTTTCTTTTAATAAAATATAAAAATAATAATAAGCTGTAATTATATACTCTGTAACGGCACTCCATAAGTCCAATGGAACTTCAGATTAAAAAGTATCCATTTTTATACACACGCACACACACATATATATATCATTCAATCATACAATAAAGCTACCCTTATATTTATATAAACCTATTTTATAAGTATAAAATTTCAAATGATATTATTATATAAGTAAAGCAATAACAAACGCTAGAGTTAAGTTGTTAATTGGTCGTATGTGAAATATAATAATCACACACACACACACACATATATATATATACATATGTGTAGACCTTTACATATTAAATTTTAATTAAGTTTTACAAGTCTTGTTCAAAATTTTCTTTTCTGTTTTTTTTTCTTCTAAGGAATATTATGAAAATATTGCTTACTCCTCTTCGTAATATTCATTTGATGACAAAATCATTATGATATAATTATTCTAATCGAATGAATTTAAAGACAAAAGAAATATGTTAAATGTAATAGAACAAATACGTTAGCTAATGTTTGTTCCCAAATTTATCTTAAAATTTAAATATAATATAAATTCAATCGTTAATTTTTATATGTCTAAATAATTACATTAAAACTATGCCAATCTATAATAAAAAAATCTATTTATAATATCTATAATAATAATAATAATAATAATAATAATAATAATAATAATAGTACAAACGAATAAAAATGTAATTTCGTAATTATTCAGTTCTTCAACTTTGGGAATATTCTTCACATTTATATACAGTTATTTAATTATTAATCATTAATTGGCTTATTATACTGTGGACAATTTTATACAAATGGATTTACTACGGAGCTTACTCGTATGTTATCATTAATACAATGTTTAAACTATTGAAATATAAATAACATTATATATGCACTTATACAAGCTGTTATTATAAAATTGTTGGATAATTATACAATAATAGTAATGATATATATATACTACATAAATTTATCAGAATAATAAGTGACAAATTTTTGTTCGATAAGTGCAGTTGATAAACGTTGAAAAATTGTTCTCTCATAATAGCATAAATTTGGTGTTACAATTGAAAATGAAAAAAAATATTTCAAAATTTGTAATATACGAACTGCAACACGTCTTATATCAAAAAGAAATAAAGAATGAAGAGTAATATTGTACATATGCATGAGTATTTACATTATATTATTTTTGTTATAATAATGTTATCATTGTGTACAGTGAAATAAACAAAGTCATTTAAGAAAATAACATATATATCCACGTCTTCGTCATCATATCTTAAATATTAATTACAGTTTTTTTTCTGTTTCTTTATTTCCTTCTTTCTTTCTTTCTTTCTTTCTTTCATACATAGAAATTATTTTACTTTCAAACGATGGACATTTTTTTTCTTTATCTACAATTTGAAAGACAAGACACGTAGCTCGGTATTATTATTTGAAAATGCATTTAGCAATTTCAACGTTTTCTTAACAAAATTTATCATTGTGTTATTTATTGATAACAACTAAATGCACCAATATATTAAATATTCTTTTACAAAATTCTTTTCAATGATCTTTTCTTTTTTTTTTTTTTTGCCGTGTACGAATGTATTTTTATAATAATTGTCGATCAAACATTTACTTTCTTCCTATTTCTTGCATCCTATAT